AAGAACATTATTTGAAAGAAGGAATGACTGAGTCTTTTTTTTTCCTCTCGCGTACTATGTAAAAATGGAAATGAAAATAGGTTGCCACATATTAAGAAGTTCGCCAAGCGAACTAATTTTGGCGCAAACTGCTTAAAAAGCGGCAACATAAATTGTTGAATTTCTCCGTAAATTTCGCACCAAATTTTACAAAATTTAATATTTAGGCATAGTTTGAGTCGTAGAATCGAAATATGGAAAAAAATTGGTATGTTATTTCAGAAAAAGTCAGATTTTGTGTCAAAATACCTATGTTAGAATAGTGCTATATATAAATCTAATATATATCCTAAGTCACGCTTTCGAGACATGAAAAACGCAGTTTGAATTTTGTCAGTCGGCCCAGTAGAACTGCAGATATAGCACTGTCCCCATTTTTTTTTTTTTTAGCAGTGTACATATATTGAAATTAAATAAAGTTATGTAGAATTTTGCACTTCTATTGGTTCTTCTGCAGCCCCAGTCTTTGTGCTTAGAATTTAAATCCCCTGCTAAAATAACAGGTTTATCTTGAGGAAGAAGTTCCGATATTTCGGAAAGTGGGATGCTTTTTAATATACTTGCAGAATGCCTAAAGAAAAAGAGCAAGAATGAAGCAGAATGCCTGAAGAAAAAGAGAAGAAAAAATAAATTTTTGCGTAAAATTTAGTATTTGTATTTTTTTTTTTTTTTTAATTTAAAACTTTTTAATCTTTTGATATTTGATTTTTGCGATTTCAAAAATAAAATATTTGACTAAAATATGAATATCATTTTAAGAAACCAAATATAGGATAAAATTGTGTAAAGCAATGGTCACAATGATAAAACTCTTTAAAGCAGTGTATGCAAGTCATCCTAAGTTAAAATGTCGGTTATACATCTCCTCTTATTTATATATATCTTTTCTGAACGGAACATTGAAAGGCGTGTTAACCGTGTCTGTATTTTGACGCAAACTGAATAAAAAGCGCCAACATAAATTGTTGAATTTCTCCGTAAATTTCGCACTGAAATTTACAAAATTTAATATTTAGGCATAATTTGAGTCGTAGAAGCGAATATGGAAAAAAATTGATATCTTATTTCAGAAAAAGGCCCGATTTCATGTCAAAATACCTATGTTAGAATAGTGCTATATATAAATCTAATATATATCTTAAGTCGCGCTTTCGAGACAGGAAGAACGGAATTTGAATTTCGTGAATCTGCCCAGTAGAACAAGAGATATAGAACTGTCCCCCTTTTTTTTTTTTTTTTTTTTTTTTTTTTTTTTTTTTTCATTGTACATCTCCAATGGACTTCTTGAGCACCTAGGAAACTGGGCCCATAATGTGTTGTTTGGTTTTGAGTGTTGTTGAGAGTAGAAAATGTGGTTGCCTACCATAGGAGCTTATTTGATGTAAGTGAAATAAAAGGACTTTAATGGGTGCTTTCCTTGAGCTTTACAAAAGAGCATAACTTCATAGTAATCGCTGTGCAGGGCACTGCTAAGTTCGTATTTCCATTCTAATCTTTGACAGCTATATTCCATGTCAGAATGCTATGCTGTGCACCATCGAGAACAGGACAGCACATAGCTCAGATAGGCTCATCAGGGGAATATACAATCTTCACCAATTTCTGGGCTTCTATTGTGGGATTATTTACTTTATCTTCTTCAGTACTATGGAGTCGCAAGGGGGGAATGCAAATTTCTGTACACAATACACACAAGAAAATATATCTTCTTTTTTTAAATACAAAATAATTTAATTTTAATGAATAGTAGAGAAAAAGAAATTTAATGTTTAAAAATGAAGTGCAGCTTAGGTAAGTTAGCTAATCATATTATTGCTGGAAGATATTTCATTTTGTAGGTTTGGATTGGGGGAAACAATACACATTTCATGTGGGCCCATCAGTAGCGAAATGGAAAAGACATTGGTTGTTCATTCCAGATTTGTTTGCTAGTGAACAGGCTGGCTACATGAATATACTTGGGCATGTTTGTGGTTTTTTCTGATTTTTAATAGAAGAGCTACTGTATATTTTTCATTCAGATTTGAAGTTTTAAGTACAGTATAGAGTCCGTTATCTGGACGTCCATTATCCGGAATGATCTATAATCCGCACCTCAAAGCCACAAACTTTTTTTTTTTGTATGCTTTACGCATGCGCGTTTAATGTATAATGGATGGTATAAGCTAGGTTGAAATTATCTTTACTGGTTCTAAGGCATTTCAGTTAATGTTGCAGATTTTGCTGTTCCTTAATCTTCTAATTGGATCTGGCTTATTATTTTTTGCAGACTGTTAGAGCAATCTTCTAAAAATTAAGCTTCAACTTTCGATTATGTCAAAAAGAGTTTCCAATTCTGGAGCTGTCAAAGGATCTACAAAGCAAAAGCATGTTTCGATGTCCATGAAACAAAAAGTGGAATTGCTTCAAAAAATAGATAGAGGCATATCCATCTTAAAATTATGTGAGGAGTATGACATTGGAAAGTCAAAAATGACAAATATGACATAAGGAAAAAGAAAAGGAACTTTTTGAATTTTTTGTGGAAGCATCTTAAACAACTTACACTGAAAGAAATGTTTAATAAAGTAAACAAACAAATATTAAGCTTTTTTTATAAATTTTGATACCCTTTAGATCATAATTGCTCTTTATTTCATAAATTGCGGTTTCATATTTTTAATTGTATAATTTCTGCTTGCCATCTTACCAGACTTAAATTGATGATCCATAATCCGGAAAACTCCCTCTGGAATCGCCGAAGTCCTGATAAGTCTGGATTATGGACTTTGTACTGTATTTTCCTTTTAGTACAGAACTATAATGATCCATAAAGGAAGCTTTTTGTTAATTTATTATGTGTTCTTAATTTTTCATTTATTTAAATGGAAAAATAAAATAGTATTTGAAAATTTCCAGCCATATTTTTTAGAAAGTTATTAAATTAATTTAGATGAATGTGTCTTAAGATGAAGGTTGGTGTAGTACGTTTGATAAATATGTAGCCTATATATTTTAATAAAATATATTTTAGAAAATGTCGTGTAATTGTACAATGTAACCTGTTTTATTGTTACTTTCACTGCTGGCCACCCAAATTGCAACACCAAGAAAGACAAGAGATATCACAACAAAATTTATTTACTAGATAACATGTTAACCAAGTATCAAATGATTAAATTTCTTCACTTCTGTGAAGTGTGGTTCCTTTTAGAATCAGTAGCCAGAGTAGCCGCCATTGTTGGAGATCACCGCTGCCACACGCCTTGGCATTGATTCAAAGAGACTTTGGATGTGTTCTTGGGGTACAGCAGACCAAGCAGCTTCCACACGTTGCCAAAGATGATTTGGTGTGGCAGCTTTGGATGTAATCTGGGTCAGTCGTTCAGCAACCATGGACCACATGTTTTCTATCAGCGAAAGATCCGGAGAGCAAGCGGCCAGGGAGGAAGGGAAGCAATTCAATCTGGTAATTGACGAAGAACCCTTGGACAATGCGTGCCACATGTGGTCGCTTATTATCCTGTTGAAATATGGCTGTTGGCAAGCCCTGAAGGTAAGGAGGAAGGACAACTGGCACCAACACCTTGGAGATGTAGTGCTGGCTGTTTAAAGTACCGGCAATGCATATTAGAGGAGTGTGAGAGTGATATCCAATACCGCCTCATACCATAATACCCAGTGCAGGACCAGTGTGGCGGTGCATAACGCAGCTGTTCAGCACTGCGGTTTTACATAATTTCTGAGTAAGCTATTCGTATGAGTTGAAATAATTCTTGCATTTAAACTTGTATTCCAAATCAAGATTTAACTTTAAATTAATGTAGATAATTACTGAGAGAATTATATTTTTAGAGTAGTTTACGGTAGATGAGATCACTTGGGGTCACGTGATACAAACCGGCGAATCAGGATGTTGAACCATGATAGCATAGTAAATTCTTAAATTAATGTCTTTTTACAAATTTATTGCCTTTTTACAAAATTTTAAACCATATTAAAACATTTATGCCTTCAAAATAAAAAATTCTTAGAAGTAACATTTGTTAACATTTTTTTATGTGTATACTGTATGTTGTCACCAACAAAGTCTGCTTGGTGAGATTTGCGCTGGCGAAATGGAAAAGTACCAAAAAACACAATTGCCGAACTTGAAATCGTTGAAAACTTCAAGCCTTAAATAGAGCTGTGAAATGGCGCCACAGGCTCGCATGATGTGCGTCTGCGCTGGAATTCTAATCATTTGCATATCTCACCTCTACTAATGCATGTTTTAAATTTCATGTTATTTGCATGCTTTCTTTAGGGTGTTGCATTTACTGTGGCCAGCAGTGTGTTTAATGTTAGCAGGGTTTGCTTTGCATAATTTATCAATTAGACTGTAGTGTATTTATGTGTGTTTATTGAACATTGTATTTTATGTAGTATTAGAATTACCATAGTTCCATCTGTTTAATGGAACATAATGTAGCATTAGTGCAGTTACTTACTAAAAGATTCCAATTTTAATACTTTTGGGCATCAGTTCTCAACCTTTTGACAAATGCATACCATCTAAACAAAAATTGAAAATTTTTAGCACCACCACCACCTCCACCACTCTTGAACAAAGCTCAGAATTTATAAAATAAATTTACGGATCAGATAAATCATTATTATCAGATAAATTTATGAGTGTTGGAGAAAAAAACTCAATCAGGATGTTGGGGGGGTGTTAATTTTTGAATTTAATAGTTAAAAATACTTTGCTTTTTTGCATACCACCTATTTTTCTCTTGCGTACCACCGGTTGAGAAACCGTACCCTGCTTTTGGATAAATTCAAACCCTATATGACTTTATAATTAGTATCACCTTAAGGAAAGAGTCTGTTTGTTAAAAGATTCTAAGAATTTAAATTAAAAATTTTATATTACCTGTATGTATAATCTTTTTTTCCTGCAATAGAAAATTTATTTTAAAATAAAATTTTTAATTCCTCAGTGGGATGTTTGGCCTGAAACAGAGAATAGGGTGCCTTTAAATAGTAGTAACACTGTCAGAGCGGATAAAGAACTCGAAAGTTCCATGTTTCAACAACAACAGCAGCAGCAGCAACAACAACAAGATGAACAGGAAGACTTTTTTAAAGATATGGTTCCTCAAATAAGAAAGCCAAAAAAGGTAGCCTTATTATTATTTATATTATTATTGGCTGATATGCTGGAGAAAAAGTATTAGTAGCATTACTTGTAGTTTTTTCTTACCAGATAAAATCTAATCCTTTTTACCAAAATGAGCAGTACAGTAGAAGTCCAGAAATCTGCAAAGCTTGGGACCAGAGGTTGTGCGGATTTCAAGACAGAAAAGATAATATTCAGACTTAAAGTGCAAAATAAATAAGGTGTATTAGATATATTTAATTAAATATATACATTATTACAATAACTTATTATATGCATTAAATTATTATTACATATATAAATTGATTATATTATCCATTGTATTATATATACACAGCATCGAGGTTTGCCAATTTGCGCCTCTTGCAAAGATTTGTGGTGTTAGAGTCACTGTTGCTGTAAAATTTCAACAGCTTTTCTTTATTTTTCCATATATCATACACAATCGTATCGCAATTCCATACGATTCTGCTATAAAATGCACCTGTCTCCATCTTTTGCAGAATTTGCACTTTTTGCATTACCGTCAATGCAACGTGTTTACGTTTTTCAACATTGCAAGCAGTAAAATCATGAGTGCATTTCTTATCTGTAATTTTATTAAAAAGCTGCTGAAATTTAAAATATTTTTAATTTATCCACAAAATATCCAGATAAAAAAAAAAGGCAGCACTAAATAATCTTGTGAAATAACAAAGCTCAGAAAATACAACTACGGGAATTGTGAACTTGAAAGAAGAGTTGAGTGATTCGTCTGCTTTCTTACCTCAATGCAGATTAGAGGGGAAAAAACTTTTATCATGATGCCAATAATTTGATATTTCCGTTATGACTCGTTATTATTCGGTAAGTATTTTTTCTTCGATATTTCTTACTCATTGTTGCGGTTTCTGGAACCTATAAACTGAATGTTTATATTTTGAGAGGCAGTGCAGATTTCAGGTCTGTGGATTTTTGGTATTTGACTGTATTAATAAACTGAGGTGTAAAAAATCACTTTAAGGATATATTATTTAATTCAAGTAATGCATATTTTTGGGGAAAATTAATAAAAGTGTTATAGGAATAATTTCATGACAGATCACCAAGTGACATCACTTTGCATTGTACCTCACGGTGTATTTTATGTATAAGTGTAATCATGTGTAGGTTGTTTTCAAATCATTGGCATTATTAATGTCAGACTTAATCAGATGTATTACAGTAGTCATGAATGAATCAGTCATCTCATAAATTGAGTAATCCTTGAAACTCATTTGCCAAATTTGCACGTGAACTTTGATTTCTCCCCTCCTCCCCCACACAAAATGCTTGCTTGAGAACTTGTACTTAATTCAGCCAGTCAACTCTCATCGTTCCTTGCCAGTTAAATTCTATCCTTAATGCTAGCTTTTCTACAGCCAGGACTGATACTAGGCATTTTGTGGCCCCACCAGTGGCCGAGCAGTAACGTCGCTGAACACTGGTAGTTCGAATCCCGCGAACGGGCTGGCTGCATGGACGTTTTCGTGGTTTTCCCCATGTGTGATGTGTATATGAGCCAGTTTCCCTTAGAAAGTCCTCCCTTAAGGCATATAGCCCTCAAGTGCTTTGCCGTAATCTAATAAAAACAAAATACCTTGTGTAATATCTACAGCCCTAAATTCTGCTGCCTTTGCCACCCTAAATTCTAAAAATTTTGCTGCTCAGTGTTTTTTCTGAATTTTGAAAGTTTTGCCATCCCTAAATTCTGCTGCTCGGCTCGTCTCTAAATTCTAAAAATTTTGCCACCCGATGTGGTTGCACTGGCTGTGGCTCAGATGAAGACTACCTTTGTATTACTTCCAGAATTCGCCTAAATATTGCTACTGATGACATCATTTCAATTCTGAAAGATTGCTTTGTTCTCTTTTTTACTGCAAATATAAATTATATTGTCTTTTGTTGTCATGGAGTACACATCACCAATCAGATAAGAAGCCATTTGATCACCATGAGAAAAAATAAACATTCATACTTCATTCAGACAGATTATTTTATGAAATAGGATAGATGGGTATGATTTGTGCAGGTGAGATATGGTCCATTGAATTATCTTACTTTTTGTCAGCACAGTTTTCTTGGTAGTAGACATATTGGGTAAATTTTTGTGGAGGCCTAATCAAAGTTATGATAAAAATGGTCATGTAATGGAGTAAAATCCTTCATTTGGTAGGGGAGGCTAAGTATCATTGTTGATCTGCCATCACCTTTTATCCAACGTAAGTTGGATAACAGGTGATTAACTTGACTGTTATAAACTTTTGTGTTATACAGTTAGCATCGACTTCACCATTACATTATGTTGACAATTTCTTGGCTGTAGTTCCATGCATAGCTTCATAGTAATTCTGCAGGACACTGCTAAATTCTTATTTCCATTTATTTTCTTATTTGTCTTTGTTATATTTTATGTCAGGATGCTATGCCGTGCACCATCTGGGAGATGGCCACATTGATAGCAGGATGGCATACAACTCAGATAGGCTCATCAGGAAAGTGAAAATCTGTCGGGGGGAAAAAAAAGTATAGGGTGGCAGATGAATTCTGATCAATCGTTTTCTCCCTATCTCATTTGTGTTACATTGTCATATCTAACACAGCATTTTGGTGAAAGGGAAAATAAACAGTTTTATGAAAGAATTGAGAATGAAAGTGTTTGCAGTAGATGGATCAATGTTGTTTTGCAAAGTATGTGAAAAACCAGTGAGCTGAAAAGCTTTCTTTCTTGTGAAGCATTTGAATATGGCTAAGGAATAGTTACTTGGAAGTTTGAATGCTGTTTAAATGTAGTGTTTACCAATGTTTACAGCAGCAACTTCAGAACACAATCAATTCATTTATATTATTTGTGTTGGCTGACATTCCACTTTGGAAGGTTGGAAATCCATCTAAGGGTTTTTGAAAATTGAAATGAGAAGTTAGCTGCAGATTTATCTTGAGAATGCATAATTAGATGCTGTATAAATGAGTGTAATTGAGAATTAGAGGCAACAGTTATTTCATTTTCCATTGATGAAACAACTGATGCTGTGGATAGATTCATTTGTACCACTGCAATTGAAACCATTTTCTCCTGAAAGCAGACATTGTAAGAGGAGATACAATATAAAGTCCAGTATCTTGAATGATGTAATATCCAGATCTCCTGACCGCCAATCTAATATATAAATATATAAATAAAATAACAAGAAAAATTTCCCTTTCCTCTCTGTGTAGAAATGGAAAATATAATACTCAACGAAGAAGGCAGGTGTGCCATAAATGAGTTTATCTTCCAGATAAATGAGATTCCATGCAGGTATGTCACTTTCAAACATCTGCTGGTTAGGGAATGGCACCGTGACCAGTGACAATGAATTGATTGACATGAATTGATGTTAGCCAAGATAACTTTCCCTCTTGAGTGGTTGTATCTGAGCTAAATAGTAAATGAAGCTCTGATGTTGTGATGTCTATATGTCATTTTACTAGATTTAAACCAATGATCTAAAATCTGGAAATTTCCAAAGTCTGAGATCCAGAATTGCTGAAGTTCCATCAGTTCCAGATCTCTGACTTCATACTGTAATTATTAGCATATCTCAAATTTTCACCAAAATATAAGGCATTTTCTCCCTCTTTTCTACATGCCTTCGAGGTGTAACAGTAACACACTCGGCGCATATTTGAGAAATACAGGTTTGAGTCCGGCTAAGGCATTGCTTATTTTTCGTGTTTCCTACTTCAAATATCCTAATGAATCTACAGTGGCACCCGAACTAAAAAGGTGGTGGATGATAATTCTTCGCCCCCAGAATTTGGCGATTGGGTCCATGCATGTGAATAAAAATTAACTTTCCCTCAAGATATGGTGGCAGCAATTGGTGAATGTAGCCTTTTCGCAAGAAAAGTTTTCTTGCGGTTTACAGCATTTGGCAAATTTTTGTGTTTAGTACGAACACACTTTTTTTTGCTGTCATTAATAGGAAAGTACCAGAGAGCCAGAAGAATGTGACATTTTGTTAGAAATGAACTATATGTTGTATTCAAGTCTGGTTTTCAAATGCCAGATTTGGGAATTCCTAATCTGAACTTCTGTGTTTCTTTGAACAGTTTTCAATCATGGTATTCATTAGCTTACTTTCTCATCTATTTTATGTTTATGATGAATACCATCATAAACATAAAATAGAAGCTGTGTAATTCTTTTTTCATCTTTGTGTTCTGTTTACAGATATGTTCAAAGTTTAAATCATAATTAGAGCTGCTTATGATGCTTATTGTGGATTAATCTGTGTAGTGTAGATTTCTGGTGAATTATTTAATAGCACAAAAAGTATATATTTTATTTCTATTTCATTTCTGAGATTATGGCTTTCTTTACTTGCTATTCGTTTTTCTTAAATATAGGCTGCCATCTTTAATGTCATTCTTTGTATTTCTTTTGCCATTTTTGGCATTATGATAGTGTATGTAATTCATTGCCATGAATGGTCTTTTGGATACCCTATAAACATGTTCTGTCACAATTTCCAGTAATTATTCCAACGTTATTATCATTGCTTTGTTATGGACTGGATATGTGTAAACATATTTGTGTTATTTGTATATGCAGTAGCTGTAGTCCGCCAAATTGCTGTCTTTACTATCTAAGTGCATTTTACTGTATTTGAAAGGATAAAAATTAAATAATTGTTCCTTTAGTTACTGTGCTTATGCTTGATAGGAGTACAGTGTGATACAGAGCTAGCAAATTAATGAAATATATCTGTTTTTGTTGAGTAGCTAGCTAGTGTATTCATAGAGAAATATTTCTTTACTAAAGTGAAGTGTGTATATTTCCATGGCTGATGGATAGAGCCAAGCCATAATAGATCTATCTTGTAGTAAATTTACTTATATCATTCCTGTAAATATTTTGAATTGACATAAAAGAACATTTCTGATATCAGAAACTGTGGCATTTTCTGATTGCCAATTCCTCTATTGAGCACCTTCCTTTTGGAAAGCATTTATGAACTTGTTGGCAGCTAAATTTTCACCAAGCTAATGTAAAAAGGCAAAAGCCATTTTCAAAATTCTGGCACACTAAGAATTTCATGCAAGAGCATTCATTCAATAAAATTTAAGCAAGAAATATCACTATGAAATGCCTTTCTTGAGAAATCCTTTGCTCTTCCTTTGTATACGATATGTTTTCATTTAAAAAAAAAATCGGAGAATCGCACAAACTGGGAATCCAAACACTTCAGCATTGCATGCCAGCCAAAACAAACATGTGCTATGTACATAGCTGGGTTGGCACATGAATACTGTTTGGCAACATCATGGCTTGCTACTTAATCATTTTAAAATTATTTTATTTAATTAATTAAATATTAATTATTTTGGCAACATACTGCATCACCTCGTGAATATTTTTCATTGCTTTTTGATGGGGGTCACAGATAAACGGAAAGTAGCGAAACAGTTTTAATAGAATTTTCCAAAAATTTTTAAACATTGTTATTCTGTAGTGCATTATCCTTTTGCCGTGACAAATGTTGGTACTACGAAAAAAAATATGTTTTCATTTATTTCTTACTTAACAGTTCTCAGAGAGTTTGTTGCCATTTAACAAAAAGTAAGATTTTTATTTTTCTTTCAAACATAATCAGTCTGTAATTGCTTGATAAATTGAGCTGTTTAAAAGGCAATCAATGCATTTCTTAAAATCTTGCCTCTTTTATTTTTAATAGCATACCTCATTAATATAAATTAAAATATGTTATTGCAATCAAATAAAAGATGCTTTGAGTTCTGTGTATTAAATATTTTATACAGAATTGTTTTTCTTTTTCTTTTTATCTAATACCTACCTTTGAAATTCATATTAGCATTCAGCATCTCTGCCCTTTTGGTACTCCATTTGTAAATGGGCATGATATTTATATCTACATGATGTTCCAAGTTCTGCGCACAACACACATATGTGTGCATGTTTATATATAAATGTACGTTTCTAGTGAAGTAAATACTCTAGTTTGTGATATTTTATTTCTTACTTTCAGAGCTAAGTATAAATTCATGTAATCATGTTTTTAACCAAAAAGCTTAATTTTAGTTGGCCATTTATATTTAACTTCAAAGAGAGAGGTCTTTTGTATGCGTGTATATGTGTTAATACTTTGTTCGTAGCTTTTAAAATTGAGTGTATCATTGTGATTATATTTTAAACAGAAACCATAATTTTACTTGTGAATTTATATTAACTTCAATAAAATAATTCATTGGAAGTATAATGTGTAATAATCTCCATATTAAAATTTATAACTCTTAGCAGTTTTAAATTTTCAGTAGTGGTTTATGTTTGACATTCAATTGTATTTGCACTTACTTCGTATATAAGTTTTATTTCCATGTAAACTTAATTCTGATAAAACAATTTTTAATTAAAAAGAGACAGTATATATGTTTTAATAAGAAATTTGAATGTTTTGTTAACCTTCTGAGTGGGCCGTGTATTTGCATCTGTCATGAAGACCTGTATTTAAAGATCCTTTATTAACTAAATATGTATATTTACCTATTTTAGTCTATTTTCATTCATCAAGCTAGCATTTATATTATTAATGAAATTAACAAAACAAAGTATCTTAAATTATAAGCTAATGTATAACAAATGACAAAAAATCTCATGACCAGATAAAGCCGGTCATGGTGCTCAGAGGGTTAAATAACATTATTTCTTAAAATAATTTCATCTTTTTTTAATTAATTGTTTGAAGAAGAAATTCATCTTATTAATTTTACCTACATGTTTTTACGTAGCTTTATATTCGAAATGAGGTGAGAGATTCAGATCAGGCAAGAAGCTCATCTAATCGTTTAGCTATGGATCCTAAAGCTGTATTACCAGTATGTATGCTTTCTTATAGTTAAAATATTTTGGAACGAGCTATTTTCTTACAGAACTGGGTGCTCCTAAGTTAAAATTGGCAAGATGGTAATAGGCTGTCAACTGTGTCTTGCTAGCACTTATCGTCAATGTTTGTTTTGATAACATGCAGTCTTAATACCTGAATGTCAAGTTAACCATTCTGATAGGTTTTTTTTTAATCTTCTTTTGCATTAATTTTAAAATTAAGAATTTTTTTTTCATCTCATATTTCAGAATTTTCAAATTCTACTCCATCACAGTGTTTAGTTTCACTAAGGTTTGAGGATTCAGTTTGAATGAGCAAATGAGACTTTGATGTACAGCATTTCATACAGCAATACAGCAACTATGCACTTCTTGAATTAAGTCTTTTTTTTTTTTTTTCCTGTAGCATTGATAAAACAACCGATGAATGATTTTTCAGTAAATTGATTTCTGAAAGCAATAATCCTCTTCAAATTGCTTTTTTTTTTTTTTTTTTTTTTTTTTTTTAAATTTTTTATCATTGGATGAATTACCTTTCTTACAATAAAAAATGTCCTTTGGATTTATTTCGGAGAAATAATTTTATTCGTTTTGCTTATTTCACTCGACAAAAAGGCTCCAATATAGATCTTTTATAAAAGTGACATGGCTTCCATTCACTGATAGTGTATTGCATTAGCAATAATTTTATGATTACTATTTCGCTAATGAAGAGCATTAAAATTATGAGTACACTATTGCTATGCATGGAAACAAAAATTAAATATAAGTTTAAACCTATACATATTTCATTCTTGTTACTTTTTTCCACCAAAATTTTATTAGTCTGGCTGCTTCATTATAGAACTACTTTTGAAAATGCTTCCAGCTGCCCTCGTATCATCTTGACAAAAATTTTAATGTCAATAAGGAGGAAACCTGTTCTGGTAATATTCAAAATTCAGGTGTTAGAAACAGCCTATTTTATCTCAGGTAATGATAGTTTTTGCAGATTTAGAATATTAGCTGTTTTTAAATGATAAATCAAAATTTTGTTAAGCTTAATAAGAGTTTTAAAATGTAGTCAGGAATGTGCTCCCAGGAATTCCTTCCACTTCCATATTCTAAAGTTATATCAAATGCATGGCATCTAATCTATAAATAATAGTTATTAATTGTTGTTAAAATGACTGCTTGCTATCTGTTTCTATCTTATTATTACTGTTATTCATAAAATAAGGGAAGCTTGTATTGTTCATTGTGTTAATCTTCTGTTATTTAAAAATTTATGAAGGTGCTGTTTAGGAAGATAGTAATTTATCTTTCCATTTAAAAAAATGTAAACTAACTTTCTAAGTTCACATTTGTGAATTCTGTATAGCTGAGAAGAAAAAATGTGAAATATTTATATTAAATATGAATATTTTGAAAAAAATGTTGGAAAATTTTAATGAAATTGAGTGTTAAATATAAAAAAAACTTATGTGGACCCCCACATGACTTTCTTGTATACCTGTTAAATTATACACACTTTTTGTTTCACTTCATTCAAACTTATTTCATTTGAAAGTGAGGTATGAGCTTCAAATTCAAAGTGACCTTAGGAAGCAAAATTTAAAATTCGTTTAAATATTTTTTATTTTGTTAGAAGTTCATTTAGAGCTAACATGATTGGTTGTAGGAGTCTAGTAGAATAATTGCTACAGGTGTCTGACTTAAACCCTCTAGATTGTGTTGTCAGGGGTTCTAAAAAGCAAAATTTATGAAAGGAAATTAACAAGTCGCACTGGCCTGCTCGATTATACATTAGCCACAAGTGCATGTGTAACACCATTTATATTAATGTTGAAGAACATTTTATATTACTGACACAATTTCATGTAGCAGCTGAGGGAGACATTTTGAACAAATATTACACTAAATAATCATTGAATGTGTGAAACCTGTATTTCACTTTAAAATATCTCATTTTATGATTTTCATTTGAATTATAAAGATGTCTCTTTTTCTGTAATATTAGAATAAATTATATTATTCATTTTTTATAGTTATATATTTCCTCTTTTTGTTATTGTCTACTACCAAATGCAGGATATTATAATATTTTTTCTTGTGTTGCTGATGTTCTGATATGAACTAACTAAAAATTTTTCCATCACTTTCTAATTTTTTTTTCTTTTACATTTATTATTCACGTAAACTTTCAGATTACTTCTTTATTTATTATTAAAGTGTACAAAAATACCTGGTTTTTTTCATGTTGATAAATAAATAGTTAATTTTATAATTTCTCTAGCAACTAGATCACATATTCAGTTCATTTATCTGTCTTTCAGAAGACTTCTTTAGCATAAATGTCATGTGATATGTTTTGTATTTTAACATGTAGTATTATGTGAGAAAAACAAACATTGTATATTCTATTTTTATTTAATGAAATAATTTATTTTAGGGTCCAGATTTAGGGGTTATAGAGGATAATCCATCTAACTGGGAAAGTGAAAATTTAGATGAAATTTGGGATCCTGATGTTTTATTAAAAGAAAGCAAAATGGCTGAACGAGAGAAAAGACTAGCAGAGCATCAGCGGAGAAAACAAGAAAAAGAAAAGAAGCGTGCATCTAGGCAAGAATCTCTTAATAATATGACAGTTTTGAGCTTATTGGACTCAAAAGATAAACCTAAATATTCGTGATATTAAAACATGTTTTTATTTGTTACAGACATAATTTTTTTACTACACTTAACAAAAATTTCAAAATAAATATTATTGTGCTTTTAAATGAGTCTTTCATTGCTTAAAACATGCTTGTATAACGAGCAAGAATGATATAAATACCAAGTGCTGTGAGACGAGAAAATCCACCATTACTCTTTAATAATATTAATCATAAGCTTTAGTAATAATTTTTTGTTGTTGCAATGAATTTGTACATTATTTCATTTTGCTGTCTTTCATTATTCATAAAATTTGGTACTTCTAAATATTTTACAAACCAAAACATTCAGAGTAATACTTCTTGCTTTACCTAGAAGCATTCTCGTTGAGAATCGATAAATTTTACAGACTTACCAATCAATGATCATGGTTGAAAGTTGAATACAACAAAATGTTAAAGGCATTTAGTGCAATATTTGCTATGTGATATTTCATTCCAAAGTGTGTTTCACATGTTTACAAGTGTCTGAGCGTAAAATGTCATTATTCATATGTCTTATTTACCAGTTATACTTAATTTATAAAAGGTAAAAGCAAAATATGAAGGATTTTGTTTTTTTTTACCTTTGTGGCAATATTTTTTACCTTTGTGATGATAGTTACTAGTGCTTTTTGTACTATATGGAGAATGATAACTTCTATATTTTATTCTAAAGTATTTTCTGCATTCAACCCGAGAAAGGTTTTAGCAGTCTTGTCTCTTGTAGTAGTTTGTCACTTTGTATGTTGGATTCATATTCAACATTTCCATCATTCATTGACAGTATGAGGTAGGTTCATATATTTATCACTGCAATTGTATAAAGAGAAAAACTCAAAATTAATGAGCCAATATTTGTGCCATTATTTTCTTGCAATGTTTTAAATTAGGTTTGAGCAACGTGTCAATTGTGATTATTGACTAGTCAATTGCAAAATTTTGCTTTCTTGATATAAATTTTTGCTTACATGCTAGAAAATTTTAAACTGTGCAAAATGAGAATTGGCATGTTGCACAACAAGTAATAGAAATAACTGCAGGAAAATGTTTAATTGTTGTTTTTATATGGCTATTCCTGGCACTGCCTGTGTGATCAGCCTATTTGCCAGGTTAATATTTCAGAGTTCAGTGGTGTTCACTGGTGTTCACTGGTGAGTAGAATAATTCAATAAATGTATACGACATGTGTTTTAAAATATATATATATTTTCTAAATTGATTGAAAATATAAGAAAGGGAGAAAAAGTTTTTGGTACTTTGTGTTATCCACCACATCCTGAAAGTCACCAACCATTGGCAACTAATTTTTCACCAAGCTAAGATGAAAAAGACAACAGCTATTTTAAAAAATGTTGGCCCTTTAAGATTTACGATACAGCAAACAGTGGAAAAAATTACTAATACATAAAACATCCATAATAATTTTTTTTTTCATTGTTCTCCCCATGCATGCAATGATCTGTTTTAGCTTTGAAAAACATCAGTGAGTTGCAGAAACTTGGCACTGCTCCTACTATTGTTCATTGTCTCCCCATGTGATCTGCTTTTGCTAAAAAAATTGGCATTGTGCACACTGTTGTTCTTCCCATGAACACAGCAATTTGTTTTTGCTGTAAAAAATTGAATTTCACAAATTTTGATCCATAAAATTCTATCATTAACAAAGCAATTTCATGCATTTTCTACCTGTTGGACAAAATCCATATGTCTGAAGAACTGCAATACTTTCTTTTTAATCAACTGACAATCTCTACAGTTCCCATTACAATTCCGTACCAAAAGATACACTCAGTGCACTGATAGCAAACAGTAATGTGCATCAAATTTGAAGATAAGCAGCATTCATCTGCTGCAAGTGCACGCATGCATACCTGTGTGATTAGATAAATATGTTTTGCAGATGTTGTGTGTTGTCTGTTTTCATAACATAATGCAGTGCCTGTTGAATTCTTTTCAGAGCTAGCTGAAGAAAAATACCAAAATTTTGTGTCTATTCCTTTAAATTTGTATTGAAGCCAGTGTTTATAATATTGTATTCTTAAAAAAGTGTTGTTTAAAGGATAATCTCACTAAAGAAAAAGTGAACTAAATTTCTCTAGCTTTTTTTATGTTGGAAATAATAGTCAGATGCTCATTTTAGCAGCTCCTCATGCCCTGAAGAAAATGGATGATATAACTAATGCTGTAAATTATAGTCAGTTGCTCATTTTAAAGCTTATCATGCTGCAAAAGAGAAAAGCATGTATAGTAAAACCTCGACTATCCAGAGTGCTCAAGAAATGCCCAATAAGTGAAATTTCTGGATAATTAAACTTGTAAAAAATGCAATTCATGGTAAAAAAAGCCAAATGAAAGGAAAAATAAATTTTTCATTTTAGAAAGTCATTTGGTATAAACTTGAATGTCAAAAGCCTTCGTTTAAAATTATGTAAGATTTTAGAAAAAAGAGGTACATTTCAGATATAAAAGCAGATGTATTTTGTAGGCTGTAAACATATGAAAGTTAAAACATGTTATTCGATTTTGAAATCCCATCAAATCACGAAAATTGACTTAAATGCTGCCAAACATATAGATAAACTCTGGCAAAAATTTAAAGAAGCAGATTATTTTTTAATTGATTATTAGTTAAGATGCACATTATAGTACTTAAAAATATGCAATATATGAATTTTCATCTTTGCCTTTTATGAAGTATTAGTAATTTGTTGCTTATTGTACAAAATGTTCCTTAATTTTTTTTTAATAAATCTGTACTAGGAAAAGCTGGCTAAATAAAAATTATCATAATCATTAAGAAGGGTGAAAAATTATTTAGTAGATGGATTGGAACCAAATTTTTTTTAGATAAAAATGTCAAATTTGAACGTGTCGAGGAATACAGATCGTTTTTGAAAATTACATTTTAAAACATTTACATGCATAGCTGCCTTTAATAATATTGATATAATGGCCTACAAAAATTTTAATATGATATTCCAAGTAATTTTCTTAAATTAATCTTCTTAACTTATTTCAAGCGTTTATAGTAATTTTTCACATTGTATTGTTATACTTTTCAAATAAAATCACATATCCTGATCCTTCCAATTAATGCCCACTTTTCTTTTCTTGATGTCAGGCTATTGTAATTTTAAAATAGACATTTGCATGCTGTTCTGTAGAAAGCATGACCCCGAATTTTAATGATTTTTTGAAAATGTGAGGGGGGAATGTAAAGGTGAAGATCTGCGATTGTGTTGTGACATTTAAATCACATTGTTTTTTGACAGCATCCTGTTTGTGCTTTATGATGAGTTCATAGCTCTCTATGTTAACTTTTTTTGTGGGATTCTAAAATTCTAAAATATTCTGTTTAGTTGAATGCCAGATTTTGAACTTTTAATGAGTGATTATATTATAACAAAAGTGGATCTGATTGGTCTTGTCAAGTAGGGACTTTTATTGTACTGTTTTTTATGATGGTATTTTCAGTATGAGTGTGAGCATTATTGCTTTGGAAATTCTGCTGCACTAGTGAAAAATGTTAAATCACTGGGTTTTAGAATAGAGGAATGCAATATACTTAATGTTCCATAACAACTAAAGAAAATTCTAGTTATTGTTGGCAAGTGTTGAAGAACCACATTAAGAAATTTTAACTTTGATTTTTTTATAATTAGGTATTGTTTGCAAAAGATCAAAGTTGAAATTCAGAGGAAACTCATAACATATGTACTTCACAAACTCAAGCCTGTCTGTACAAAATGGATAAGCTACATGAAAGTAATCTTAAGAAATTTAATAATGATTAAAGCAATGAAAGTATAATTATTTTATTTATTGGATGATTTTGAAAGCTTGAAATGTTTTGACCCAAAATTTGTGGTATATTACTTTGAACTCAGTGATGAGTGGATTGTTAATATAGGAGAGTTAAAGGGGAATTTACAAGTCAATCATATCCAAATATGTCAGCAGTGTGCATTTTATGACTGCATACAAGTGCATATTAACATTTATAATTGTGTATTCACATGCATTTCGCTGTTTTATGTTGACCATCCAGCACTTTTTAATAAATAATTAGAAATGTGATTTCCTCATCTAAACCTTTTCCTCTGTCTAAATTCAGGAAACAGGTTCTTTCACATGGACTACCCCTGCATGAGGGTACCAGCACTTTTAATGAAGATTGCTTAGTAGACAGCAAGGCAAAGTCCTTTATAAATATGTCTCATGGACCCTTGTGAAGTTGACTTGCATAATGCAAACTTTAACATGTGCCAGCATCTTTATGCTGAGCCCCTTAGTGCATTTTGTTTGCTGTTCTGTTTGATTTATTAAGCCGGAAATGAAATTGCAGCACTTTTATTCAAATTGGTTTTTGCATAATGGTGCTGGTATGGTTTTACAAGGGCGGTTATTTTGCACAGCAGTTTTTGCCTTTTTATATTGTTTACAATCAAACCAGTGTAAATTTAGAGGTTGTGCTTCCTGAAATGGAATTCAAAACTGTAATAAATACCATTAATTGTGCATTGTTTGAATGTCATTGTAGAAAGCAATTTCTAATATTCTTCTGATGTTTTACATTTTTATAATGAATTCTGCATGGAAGGGAAAAACTTTGAAGTCTACAACTATAACTGAAGTTTTGAAAATGTTATTCAGTATTATTAATAGATATTCTTCTAAGCTTTTTTGCCTATGAAGTATCTATTACCTATTATCTTTTTTGTCTTCTAACTTCTGTAAGTTCTTTCTTCATTTAATTTCCTTAAAAATTGTGTATATTGCATAATTTTCTCATCTGGGTTTTCAGATGGTAACATTAGTTCAAAAAAGGAGGTTGAAAATATTTCAGCAAATGTGGAATATAATAGTATGCTGAACGTTAGCAAAACATATCTGATTACTTTACTGTGAAATAAATGTGTGGCATAATAATAAAAAGTTGAAAGAAAGGAGATTATAAATAATATGTGTATATTTTTAATGGGGTGTTTAAAAAAAGATGCAGAATTAAATGTTGAACAGTTAGCCATGGAACCATCTTTTTTAATAAATGAATCAAGATAGACTTTCATTCTCCACTAATTTTA